GAGAGAGAGAGAGAGAGAGAGAGAGAGAGAGAGAGAGAGAGAGAGAGAGAGAGAGAGAGAGAGAGAGAGAGAGAGAGAGAGAGAGACGGGGTCATTGCAAGTGTGAATCTACTAACTTTTTGTCGCCGGCTGTGACAGTGTGAATAGGTCGCTGCACCTCAAGATTATTGAGAATCACTCGCAGCATTGCTTGCCCTATACCCTGATTCCTTGACGATTTCGGCATACAACAACAGGAAAAAAAATGGCAGAATATTATACCATATGTGAGCTTTAGCCATCGCTATGGCCTGTTGGCCTCATAACAATAGCCGAATGTCCATAGACTGTATAGTAAAGTCTGTCTGTACTATACATAGGCAGTCCTATAGTCTACATAGCACTGCCTTATGGGTCAATAAGGCATTCAGTGGGAATGTTTTCAGTCCACAGAGTTTCAAACTGTAACCTTCCCTTAGTCCACAACTGCAGAGAGCCAATTTCGTCAGGGTTATACTTTGCATAAGACGAGGACAAATTTGGGCTCAATCTGTACCAGATTCATGACACCTTTGCACTGCCAAGCGTACTGGCCTGATGGGGCCCGTGAACCTATGTGACAGCTGGCATACAGGGTTATACTTCGTGTAAGATGGGGACGAATCTGGACTCAATCTGCACCAGGTCTGACATCTTCGCACTCCTAAGCATACTGGCCTGATGGGCCCCTCCTCGAACCCCAATGTGCCAGCTGGGCATCTTTACAGGTTTATACTTCGCATAAGGCGAGGACGAATCTCGGCTCAATCTGCACCAGGTTCACAGTGTCTTTGCACCCCCCCAAGCGTAGGGGCCTGATGGGGCCCTCGCACCCCCTATGTGCCAGCTAGCATACAGGGTTCTTATTCGCATAAGCCAAGGATGAATCTGGGCTCAATTTATACCAGGTTCACGCCATCTTTTCACTCCTAAGCATTACTTGCCTGATGAGGCCTTCAGACCCCCCCCATATGGCAGCTCGCATTGAACTATATATATTATTATTATTATATTAATTAAATTAATTTATATAGTGTCGAGTTGGGCAAGTATGGGCAATCCGAAACCCTCAGTTCGGTTTTGGTTTAGCAGGCTCCAGATTTTTTTTTTTTTTTTTTTTTTTTTTTTTTTGAACACCCCCACCGGTGCTAGTGGTGCTGAATCTCAGTTACTCATGAGATTTGTGGTTCTGTTCATTACCCTTTTGATCCTGTTACATATAGTTATTTGTAGTTATTTCCTTTAGGCCCTCTAAAGTGAGTATTTGGTTAAATAGGCTAGTACTTTACTCATATTTTTCTAAAAACATTTTGGACTATTTTACTCATATTTTTCTAAAATTTTCTCGAGCTGTTCTCCGTGGTTTTAGAAGAAGCCGGGTAATGGACCTGACGAGGGATTGGATATAACTTCTGCAACCTGGAATCGGGGTTGTGATGGCTTTGGGGGACTCGGTCGGAGCTGTTCCGGGCCACACTCCCATGGTCTGCAACTGGTTCGGATGCCGTCATCCGGTGCGGCACTGGGGTTTGGTTGTGCGACTCTGTAACCCGAGCAGGATCAGGGGCATGGGGCTGAGGGAGAACCTGGGGAATGGTCGAGGGAGGAAGTGTTTTCACTGTAACCCTAGCAGTTGGGGGTGTGAGCCTGGTCCCAGAGGCTTGATAAACGAGGCGGGAGGGCTGAGGAGGGTTTTATGGCTGGGCCTGTCAAGTGGCATTTGCACGTCTGGTTCCGTTTTTTTGTAGGGTCCGGGTAAAGTCCAAAAAAAAACGCACTGGCTAGTCTGGTTCGGGTTTGGTTGAATCAAAGGGCAATTCCAATTTCTCAAACAAACAAAAAAAAAAACTTCTCAATCTGTGTATATGTTCTGTTTTCTCAGCCGAAGCCGGGCAATAGCTCCGGCTTTAAATTTTCTGTATAATTTGACAAGGGATGCTGGGCGCGGTTCCCAGCA